GTGGTTACCTTGAAATTTACCTTTATCTTCCTAGATTTGAGCCAGTCTATTATTACTTGGTATAGCCTTGCCTTCCTCTCCATTAGAGGGTTCTACACCTACACCATTTATTCCCTCTTTTATGGTTCTGATGCTGTTGTCATTTACAGATTAACCTCTCTGGTTCCCTGTTGTAATTCTTTTGGTTTTGCATAGTCCTTAAGAGTTCATTTGCTAGGCTGGTATCTTGCTAGTACAATCCTGTGTCCTATATTCAGCCTGTGGTCTGATGTTGTTTGTTCTCAGATCGAAGGACTCCCTTTAATAAGCCTTGTAAGTTTGGGTTGGTTTTTACATTGTCCCTTAATTTCTGTTTATCTGGAAATGACCTAATTTCACCATCAAATTTGAACCAGAGTTTTGAAGGATATGTTATTCTTGGCTGGCAATTTTTTTCTTTCAAGGTTTTATATATGTCATCCCATTGCCTTCTTGCCTGCATGGTTCCTGCCGAATAATCCGAGCTTAGTCTTATTGTTTCTCCTCTGTATGTGACTTTTTGTTTTTCTCCAGCTGCTCTCAGGATTCTTTGTCTTTGGTTTTAACGAGTGTGATTATGATATGCCTTGGTGATTTTCTTTCGGGGTCTATCCTATATGGGGTTCATTGAGCTTCTTGGATGGTCAGCTTTTCATCTTTCATGATATTGGGGAAGTTTTCTGCTAGCAATTCTTCAGTGATCCTCTCTGTGTTTTCTGTTTTCTCCCTCTGTTCTGGAAGTCTGCTCACTCAAAGATTTTTGCTTTTGATTGTATCCCACATACTTCTCAGGGTTTCTTCATTCTTTTTTCTGATTTTTCCTCAAACAGAGTTGTATCCAAATGTTTGTCTTCAATTTTGCTGATCCTATCTTCCATCGTTTCGAACCTGCTCCTCAGCCCTTCTATGACAGTGTCCATTTCTGAAATCTTGTTGTTTATCTTTTGGATTTCTAATTGTTGTTTTTGTATGATTTCTAGTTGTGAATTTATTTTAGCATTTTGTTCCTGTATTATTTTCTTGAATTCTTCCATTTTTTGTCTGTATTATACATGAATTTGTCTGCCTTTTCTATGAATTTGTGTATTTTTTGTCTGCTTTTTGCTTCAACTCTTGGATAATTCTGAATATTAGAGATTTGAATTCCCTATAAGTTAGGTCTAGTGTCTTTTCTTCTACTGGAAGGTCATCTGGTGTTTTATTTTGGACACCTACTGGAACCATCATGTCCTGTTTTTGTAAATGTTTTGATATTGTCTGCTGTCTTCAGGGCATTCAGTGGCTATTTTCATCGTTTATTGATTGTACATTTGTTTGTTTCATCCTGCTTTTTTGTTTTATTTGGTTTTGTCTGAGCAGGTGGGCTGTGCGTTCTTTGTTGTTTGCTTGTCTGTGGGCATGATACTTTTTACCTCCTTCTCCAATGGGCAGGGTCAGTCACTTAGGTACGTTACAGCAAGGCAGGTCCAGCTGAAGGGGAGTTGCTGGGATGGGTTGTTTGTGGCATGTACCAGGGCTGACAGTGCAGACCAGGAATCAGTGTAGGGCAGGTTCCAGTAGGCTGTGCTTGTGCTGCTTGGGAGTGTGATGATCAGCACACAGTGCAGGTAGGCAGGAAGGAAGGGCTAGATTGTGATGTGTGGAGCTAAGATGGGTATGGGAAAGATGAGAGAGAGGAGAGAGGGACAGGAGCCAAAAACGTACACACAAACAAAAAAGAGTGCTAAGGGAGCTTGCTATTGGAGTAGAGATGAGAGACTGAGAAATGGGGAAAAACAAAAATGAAAAGAAAAAAGGAAAAGGGTAAAAGAAAAAAATCACTAGATTAAGAAACTGGAAATGAAGAAAGACAAAAAGTGAATAAGAGAGAGAAGAAAACAAAACAAAACAAAACAAAAAAAACCAAAAACAACAAAAAAGAAAAAAGAAATGCTCCCAGGGATGTCCCTGTGCATCTGTGCACAGTAAGGGAGTAGCTTCCAAGCTGCCCAGTACTGCCCGGCTAGAAGGGGCTCCCAAGCCAAGAAAAGAAAAAGAAAACAAACAAACAAATCAAAATAGAACAAATCAGAGCAAACAAACAAACAAAAAAGCCTCAGGAGTCCCAGCAGGGTGGCAGCACAGGCTGGAAAGCAGTTTTGCAGTCAAGCGGTATTTCACAGCCTTTCAGGAAGAAGCAAAGATGGCACATGAAGCCAGGTATTTGAGAGAAAGGAGGGGGAGGTGGTGAGAGGTATGGAAGAAATCTAAAGAAGTGGAGAAAAAGCAACACAAAAGCCAACAAAAGGCACTCAAGGAGCCAACCAGTGTGGGCGGGTGGAATCTAAGCCACACCGGGGTGAAGCTGGTGTTTCCCGGCCAAGAGACTGTGGTTGCAGGAAGCAGAGGAGGCTAAGTAGGGATGAAGAAGGGTGGGGGATGGGAAGGCTTGGTTACTGGTTGTTCTGTCTCCTGCTGGAAGCTTCGTGAAGCTGCTTTCTCATACCCCATGTTCGCTGACTTCTGGTAGGAGTCCAAGATGGCAGATCCGTGCTGCAGTAGCTGACAGGGGGCCTCTGCATGTATCTCTGCTTGCTCTCTGTTCTTAGTCAGTTTCTTATTCCATTTGGTGCTTGGCTGAATTCTTTATCTCTTCATTTGATGCTTAGGGTTTCAGGATTGACATGTGACCCTGTTTGACTTAGTTTTTCTGATCTTTGCTGTGGAGTGACGGCGTGGTGCTTCTGACTGTAGTGCCATGTTGCCCGGAAGTCTGACTTTCTTTTTCTTAAGCCATCCACAGACTCCAGTGGCACCCTCTGTCCTTTGCCATTTCCTGCTGACAAGGCAAAGCCTGGTGCTCCTGTAAGCCCTGCCCCCACTTACCCTACTCTGTGCAGAGTGGGTCTCTATCGATGCCACTTTTCTGCCGTTCCCTTGAGCGCCCTGTCCTGTGATTGAATTAGAAATTGTGATAACAAGTGAATCATAAATTAGTTGTCAAGCCTGAGCCAGGCTAGCTTGAGCAGCTGAGCCTGTATGTGCTGGCTTTCTCGT